AGAAGGCAATGGCAAACCACTTCTGGATCATCTGCCAAGAACGTATATGAACAGGCCCCAGTCCGAGAAAAGGATGGAAGGATCCTGTTCATATGGACCTGTCGTCACACAGAACACTACAAAAAAAAATAACAGAATGTACCCGTAAAAGGAGGACTTGGGGATCTGAAAGGAAATTGGACGCGAAGTACAAAAAGTTCGTAAAAACAGAGCCCGGAAACGCTTCATAAAAAGTCAGGTCGACAAAGGGAGAAAAAGAAACAAAGATAATGATTTAATACTGTTAGTAAAACCTGAGAACACGCTACGTATTACATAACGTAATCAGTATATTCCCCAGTCTTGCAGCCATAGACCGATCCAAAGTTATAAACAACTTGTCTGCGCGCCTGCAAAGAATACGTCCCACTACACGCAACACTCTGGTGTCGGAGAAGTTGCCGCATGACTACGGCGAACACAGATATCCCGACACTTCACAATGGAACCTTGATTAAATGTGTCAAGGGACATCAGCTGATTGACGACCGACAACAAATTAATTGCCTTGACACTGAACGATTACCCCCGGTGACAAGTAACAGGTAGAACCCCGTTCTAACACGCATTTATTCCGTGTAAAATGCCAATGTGTGTAATACCAACTTTTTTTATCCCATTATGCGGGGATAAACGTTTTGTACGTTGCTGAACACGCAGTCAGCAGCTCCCGCTGGCTATTTCGTCAGTCAGCGCAATTTCCCTCTCACCGGCACATTTGTTCCTTGCGTCCACCAAGTTACAGAGCAAACAAAGTCTTCAAACAGATCAGACACCACAAACAATCCTGACGCCCTGGGGTAAAGTGACGGTTCGCATGTTCGTTACGTTCTGGCAACCAAACTGCTGCGTTTCTGTGCGGAATTTCCACTTTGCCCGGGGAATCAAGAATTCGTGACATCAGCATAACTCATAATCCAATTCCGAACTCCAACGCTGAAACTGTAATAAACAGGAACTCAGTTGCGATCACACACACATGACAAGAAAGTAAGATAATGCGAGATCTCAGAGTCTCACGGGGGCGAGTATGACGATACGTATCTTCCGGGTTGTCGCCCTGAAGATGGCGTCAGAAAACACCTCTGAAACATCAGCTAACTCCTACCAGACTACAAGAGCCCACAATTTAAAACTAAACAATGCCGTCCCTTAAGCACCGAGCTTCGAAATAAATACAAAAACTGGTCGATGCCTGGAGTGGCTCTGACTGGCAATAAATGCGCTTGGGTTCAAATCTCGGTACGGGAGTTGCGATTATTTCCTTACAACTCTGGGGTGTACAAAGCCAGCCAAGCAGTTGTCTGGGGGGGAGGCGTCCACACTGAGTTAAAGCGGACGGAGCAGCCACTTTCAATCAACACCGGTACGCAAATGTGGGCAGATTCTCATCACTGCTGAGTAAAAAAACGAAGCCTTTATGGCTCCACGCGTCGGAACTGCGTCCGATTGAAAACATTAATATCCCCCGTTTGGACACTCTATAAGAACATCCGTTCAAGGAAAAGAAGCCTGAAATGGCACCTCCTGAAACGTCCTTTCGTGCATGAAACATTGCGTTTTCATCGTTAAATTAAAATTACTACGACAAAAAGTGTTTAACGCTAGACATGTCTACCGAAGCACGAGAGTGATTACATAAAAGGCCTGGAGACGGCAGTGTTGCAAACTGCTTGGTTTTATTATTTAAAAAAAAACGTTTATTGAACCTGACGCGAGCAATTAGAGCAGAAAGTAGACCGGACCGCTCTACCTTTTTGACAAAAAGCCTTTTAATGGCAGACTAATGGGTCATTTGACACGCGATGTTTCAATTTATGAAAGAATGCGAACAATTCGACATTAATATGTAGAACATAAAACGACTCAGAGACTTGGCTCCCGGAACTGCGAACTGATTTTCATTCTACACGAACAAGAGCAGGGTTAAGGCCTGATGAACCAAAACTCGAGTTCCTTGCGTTTGAATTATTACTTATTAGCGTACGAGTTAAGTCTGATTAAAATAATTTTCATGGATTGTGCTGTATGACTGACTATGCCCTGAAGATAGGGACGGTACGTCCCTACGAGACGTTGGTAACCACCGTAAAAATTAGTCACATTCAACTTTAAACTTTAGGTCCGTCAAATTCATTTCACATCAATATCCGACATACGTCACTTCCATTATCTCAGCAATTCGAAACAGCGTCATTTAATAGCGTACTAATCAATCAGTCAACGTTTTGGAGCCTCAAATTCTATCCACTTGAGATATTCTCAATAAAATTCGGATATATTTTATGTGTATCTCGTGCTCTCTACATGTTCTGCCCATCTCAAAGTTCAAGATTTAAAAAAATCCAAAATTTCTGGCAAATTACGAGCAATCTCCTCCGTCCTTAAAATAACTTTTGCCTCGATTACGTCACGATAGAAAACTGTGGAGGCTTATCATCATTAAATTACCTGTAGACCGAACTGGGAGTGGACACGCCGAGTCGAACCACAGGGCGACAGTGAATCCATTTACGACAAACACGAACTAGTACGACGATAAATGCGAAGTTGTGTTGGTACCTTGTATGACATGCAGAGGGCAGGCTGCAACAAGTGGCGTGCGCGAACAGCGAGTCGTGTGTTTCATTCGTCCTCGTCTCAGTCCGTACGCAATTCGACACAATCGTGTTTACATTTCCATCACACTTCATTATTCCATACCTCACTCGCGTTAAGGGAAACAAATATAAACAGGGCGCTTTAAAACTCACAGTCAATTAGCGTCCCCCACTCGACGTCATTACGTTTTGATACACAATGTATCGAATCTAGTGGTATCGATAGTCGCACTAATCGACAGGAGGCTGAAACGAGAATTTACAAAATGCAAATTCATTTAATGTTTTGCTTTTTCAAGGGCGTGAAACTTTGGAAGAACGCCGATAGAGGGCATTTCAGAACAGGGAGCATTTCTGGGGCTAAGAGGGCCGACGCGACAAACTAGAGAAAAGTGCATAATAAGAAACTTCATAATTTACACTCCACCAGACATTAAAGTAGGTTCAGATGGGTAGAGCATGTAGCTCGCACGGGGAGTGCTCACAAAGACCTCGGAGTACGTGCTGTTTAATTAATGATTCAATAAGAGCAGTACATTTAACCACTTGAAGATGGCAGTAGCAGGTCGAAACATGTACTGGTTCTTATTATTTGACGGTGTATTAATGATACTTGAACCGTTGTTTTCAACGGTGTCATTTGTCTACTTGTTAGGCTCCAACAGCAATAAATCTGCTGAAAATGTTAATTATTATTAATAGTTCGTGCAGAATACAATTTCTGGTTGTCCTCGGGGAAGCGACGCCCGTCACTGGTCTCAGGAGACGCATCGCTTATGCGCGCTGTTATGGATGAGGGGTCATGTTTTACGATGGGCAGACAACGCAACACAAATAGCTCGTAACGATCTGACAAAACACTTCTCCCCGCAAGTTTGCATTAAACACGTCGTATCGCGACGTTAACGCGGCCACGCAAATCTGCACGACCCCAGCACAGAAGACCGGAAGCTCGCATACATCGCGTAACCGCGTTCCGACCGAATTTACAGGACGTACCAAAATTCGCTGATATAAAAAGGTTTCGACGTTGTAATTAATTATATTTCATGGGACTCGTATCGTGTATAATCTTCTGGAAAACGAGACTCCACTAGACCTGGACATTCCCTTACTAACAGGAAGCAGAAAAGCGAACATCGCGTTGGATAGAACACGTTTTCTAAACATGTTCCTTTATTAAGGACATTGCAGGCAGAGATCCGCTGTTGCTAGGCTAATTAAGCAAAAGATACCACACTACTGACGTCACATTCAGAGAACTCACCGCGAGTTCATCCAGCAGTAGATGATGGGGTTGTACATGGAGTTGGACATCGCGAGCCAGTAGATCGCCAGGTACACCTCCTGGACGTACTTGGTGTTGGTGATCTGAGGCAGGAATGACGTCAGGATGAAGTACATGTGAAACGGGAACCAGCACACGGCGAAAATCAGCACGACGACAATCATCATCTTCACCACCTGCACAAACGCACGCAAACTCGTTAATTAAGCTCCAGTTGGGACGAGGGTGGAAGGGTCGCTTCTTTTACGAATATCTGGACACGGAAGGAAGGAAGTGGCTCAGATCATGAGTGAAGTTTCGGGTTCTACAAAAGGTCGAGTTCTTCCTCAGTAACCCAGCTCCGTACAGTTCATTAGTCAAGTTAATAATCACTGTATCAGACTAAGTTCCTACAGGTTCAAACAAGTTTTGTTTTCATATAAAAATTATGAAATTCATTTACCCAAACTTCCGAACTGAGATAGGTCGAAATGTTAACCCTTTAAAGCTTAGTGGTAAGCATATATACCACCTGTCTTAAAATCAGGAACGCTTCATTTTATATTAGTATTATTCTCAGTTTAAACAGAGATTACTTTTTAAACAGCGTTAACAACTTGTGGTGTTTTCTTTGCGGTACGGAACTGCATTTAATCAGCAGATGTCACGCGTAACTCCACTGCCTTCTTGAGAGAATAACATTTCCAGTCTGTAGAGTCCGGTTGGGGCAGTGCCCGTCCTAGAGTGCACGATAAATACTGCCCCCTCCGCCCCAAGAAAGAATACTCAGTTACGTTCCGCCTTAAAGAAACTGTGTTTACAAAATCAATGCCACGATTGTACAAAGGCGTTCCTGCTTTAAAATTACTGTCTTCAGAAATGTCAAGCCTTGCAGTTTGGTAGATGCTTCAGAGGTGCTATCTGCCTCCATCATCAGGGCGATAATCCCACTATCATCGTCCTGATGATGGAAGCAGTGACACATATTCGCAACCCGAATACAAAATATCATGTCCTGTAGTGACTCGTTAAAATAAAAAAATAAAAGTACAGAACAGTTTGATTCGATGCTGGACGACAAACATCTGGTAGCAACCATTACGTTCTGTTTAAACGCTGCCTGGTTGCTCTTGCATTCTAGTCACGACACACGGACCTTCCGATGCTTCCGTTATTCTATACGACCCACTCAGTTGTGCAAACACAAATTTCGATATCGGACCGGGAAAAACGTGCTGCGAAGAAAACCACGTGGCACTGTGTCGAGCTCATCACCGACTGAAACTTCATCTGGAGTTCAACCCTTGGCAGCTGAAGATCGCTTAAATAATATTTGATAACTCAGTCCGCCCCGAAGAGAGGTCCTTAGTTAGCAGAAGACGAAAACACAGGAAAGTTTCGTAATAAAATTAAAGTGGATCTTAGGGACATCGGTTACATGAAGGGGACCTTGGTTCTGGGTAGAGACTAGTTAAGCAGTCATTTAACTTGATAGTTGCTTAACTATCTAGTCAGATTATCACCCCACAAAACTAAACGCACTACGTAAGGTATGAGATTATCACGACGGTGAGTAAGCCTCGTAGAACTTTACTGACGTTTCAGTATTCGTAGCCCTGACGATGGAGACAGAAACGACCTCTGAAACGTCTGTAAACTTCTACCAGACTGCACGGCGCTACAACCCGCCTCGATGTCTACTCTGCCCAGACGAACATTTTATTTTTCGAGTTGCATCAGGATTCTCGCTTCCGTTATTTTAAATCAAATTATAAGTTCGCAACATGATCCAGGATTGTCAAGTCACGAACAAACGCTGAGTTTCCTGGAGGCGAGACGAAGCGAAATAAATAAGAATCTTCTTTACGAATGAGACCAGTTTTCGTTCCTCAAACCTCAGTGGGTTCACAGAGCGCGCTCATTTATGACTGGAACACCGAATGAGACGAGCAAGGAACAACGCGAACTTGTTTAAAAGACAAAGAAGAACTCCGGAGGATTGAAGAGACATTGATCTCGTACCACAAATAAGCTAATATGTGTATGAAATGGAATAGACGATCGGGGTTCGATCCCCGTCGGGGGCAGAGGGTCCTTTCCCGGGGGTAAAGCTCGGTCGGGGCGTGATGCTGACCACTCACCCCATCTAGCGCCGAGGTCAAGAATGAGTAGGAGCTATATCGCCTCTCCTCCCAAGCGCCTACATGGCGCGTAGCTTTGCTTTTTTACTGTGAATGAAATGATTCCCGAAATAAGAGAGGTTAAGACAAGGCAGTCCTCCGGAGGCGCGCACTCACCCGTCTCTTGGATTTGATGTTGTCGAGCTGACGCTGGGTGCACTCGCCGATGCTCTGGCTGCCCCAGAGTTCCAGCCCCACCCGGACGTACGTGTAGCTCATCGACGAGATGGGCAGGAAGTACGTCAGTATCATGAACATGATGTTGTAGCTGCAAGAGGGAAAAAGTCATCGTTACTCGCGGTATTCTGAGGAAACGGCAAACTTCCCGTAAATAATGACGGGAAAACTCAAAGTAGTCATTCCGGGAATCGTTTAGTGTACAAGACCCCGCATTCATCGCCCTGATGACGGAGGCAGTATGACCTCCGAAACGTTGGTTAACATCGACCAGACTACACGGCGCAACAACCCAGAAGACGGAAATCTTCGTTCACAAAGAAGTCTTTCATTCGGCATTTCAAAGTTCCACTCTTTCAAGAACAATTCGTAACAAGACACAATTTCACAAATTTACAAATCTCATCTTACAAGATCTTTCTTGATAGTTATTCAGGTGATCAATTAACTTCTTGTATTTCCTTAATCCGATGATTCACCACTGACAAAGAAGTCTTTCATTCGGCATTTCAAAGTTCCACTCTTTCAAGAACAATTCGTAACAAGACACAATTTCACAAATTTACAAATCTCATCTTACAAGATCTTTCTTGATAGTTATTCAGGTGATCAATTAACTTCTTGTATTTCCTTAATCCGATGATTCACCACTGCGTTCATAATGGACCGCCATTTTAGTCGCATTCGGTTTAGAGCCATGCAATTAATTTTCGTGTTATCCTCCAACTTTCGTCACCAAGTCCCCCCCCCAGGCTTTCAACAGAGACATTCGACGTTCTTCATAATTTCTTGAGCCGTGCTACATGTCTAGCCCATCTCGTCCTTCGCATTCAAGTTAATAAATAATAGGCACAGGGAGAACGCCTTACCGGAAGTGAGACAGACAAAACACAATCGTCGGCAGTGACGTGCTTGGCGCCACGCGCTCGTCGTGTGTTTGCTTTCCTTACATGGATCCGTTCTACGAGTAGTTAACGCATGAATTCACAACTATCTGCCTCCAGCAATTACTGGATCAGAGGCGTCCTCGTGTGTAAACGTAAAGCTGAAGACGCTTGGCTTGTCAGACTCGTTGCTAGGTTACCATTGTTGTCAGTCCAACAACCATCGGGAAGTCCCGGGATACATTCAAATCATTCGACTCGCATTGCGACAGACTTAAAGGGAACTATAAACCCGGGTACAATTGAATAAATTATCAACAAGTCATAATAAGTTCGCAATTAATTTTAGAACTAACTAACTAACTAGATGGCTTACCGAACCCGAAGGTTCATCACCGAATTAACGAAAGCCCTCCACCGGACCCTGTCCTGCACCAACAAAATCCAGTCTCCTTCAACTCCTATCTCCCATAGATCCCGCTTAATATTATCCTCCATCTACGTCTAGGTCTCCCCAGCGGTCTCTTCCCCTCAGGCTTCCCAAATAGTGGACCCAACCAACCAGATGGCTTACCGAACCCGAAGGTTCATCACCGAATTAACGAAAGCCCTCCACCGGACCCTGTCCTGCACCAACAAAATCCAGTCTCCTTCAACTCCTATCTCCCATAGATCCCGCTTAATATTATCCTCCATCTACGTCTAGGTCTCCCCAGCGGTCTCTTCCCCTCAGGCTTCCCAAATAGTGGACCCAACCAACCAGATGGCTTACCGACCCCGAAGGTTCATCACCGAATTAACCAAAGCCCTCCACCGGACCCTGTCCTGGGCCAACAAAATCCAGTCTCCTTCAACTCCTATCTCCCATAGATCCCGCCTGAGATTATCCTCCCATCTACGTCTAGGTCTCCCCAGCGGTCTCTTCCCCTCAGGCTTCCCAAATAGTGGACCCAACCAAACAGATGGCTTGAACTGTTAATATAATTGAAACTAGTCGTTTTACACGGGCTGAGTATGTTACTATGATGGGAGTTCCCAAACTAACCTACCAAACATTCACCTTAACAATTCCGAAGAGCCGAAATGTGTCTGGAGACGGAGTGTAAGGCGACGTGGTGGTGTTCTAAAACATTGTAGTCGCTGGGTGGAAGCAGGAGACGTATGGGGAGAGGATAATATTAAAATGGGACTTAGAAAAAATAATTGCGAAATGTCAACTGGATTAATCTGGCTCCTGTGAGAGTCTACTGTGCGGACTTTTGTCGTCATTCGATCGCCGTAAAGCACCGGGAAAGCCCACAAATATCTCGGTTCGTAATTAATCTGTTCGTTTCCCGTGAACGCTGTTTGGTGAACTCGTCGATTCGCCGATCGCAAGATTACTCTGCCCCGCGCATTCACGACGTGCGCCCTCTCACCTTCTGCACCAGTGGCAGAGAGGCTGCAGCAAGGGATCTGAAAGGAACAAGTGATATAAACTGTAATGAAACGACAAGATTGCGCCGCTATAAAAGTTTAATTTCCTTTCGGAGCAAAACGAGTTCTGAAAGTACACGCATCAACATGTGTTAGTTCCTTTAACATCCGCGACCAACCATTTCCCCTCGAATTATCTCCGTGTTCTTCCTGAGTCATCTAAACCCATCTATAATCATTAACTAAATAACTACTTCCTTACTTTCCTGTAGCAATAACTTCATTTTGATGATATGAGAGGAGTAACGTGGCATAATTATCCATCCGCCCACTACAACCTCTAACGCAAGAAGAAGAAGAAGAAGAATAAGACAGAGAGAGTAGCAATAGGCACTTCTGTTATAAATTCGTGGAAGGGGGAATTTGATTTGAGGCTACGAAGTTCCCAAATAACATTTAAGAATTCAGTCCGTACCGCAAAGAAAACACTAAAGTTCACCATTACAAAGATCGAATGGTTAATTCAGTTTAAAAGTGTTTGCTGCTTATTCTCGGAATCATCCAAAACCTATAAATACACCCCGTGGGCAAACCTGGTCGAGTTTTACCATAATTCTAAGTTGTACACTGCGCATGCTCAGACACTGACCATTTAAAGCCGAGTGGAAACTATATATACCACGTGCTTTAACAAGCATATTACTTCCTTAAACAGCCTTAACGGCTTGATCTCTGTAATCGTGAAGTGTGGTGTTCTCTTTGCGGTACGGATTGAATTCTTAAATGTTATTTGGGACCTTCGTAGCCTCAAAGCCAAACACTCGAGCTTCTTCGTGAATTCAATTACTGTTTATTACAGTCATTCCAAAAAAAAATTCACGACATTTATGAACCATTTCGTAGAAATGTTTGTATTACGACTGCATTCAGGCACAAAACAGATATATAGATTTGTCTCCATATTAACCTTTGCGCCAACTTCCAGCGTCGTTAAAATAACACCCAGCCACTGTCCGACCCATAGTGCCACAGTTCGACTCGGGAACACGCATTAGCACATCATTTCTGCCCCGGAAGACCTGCCTTCGGCTTGTCCTCGCAATCAACCGGCTATTCGTGACGTCATGTCGTTCTCGGGAAAGTATTGTTTTTTTTTTCAATCCCTCAATTACGTAGGGGATCGTGACGTCACAGCACGTGATACGTGTCCGGACGCAGTTGAGGGCGGAGTCCCACTGGCTTTCTCATTCCAAACGTGCGCCAGTTGGACATCAACTGATCAAACTGTGATGTGCACATGGAAACTGCAGTGCCAAGGATCTTTTCGCCAAATTCGTACTAACCTAAAAAGCTAGCATCAAGTTCGATTTATTTAATATCTTCGCCGCCCTCGTCCTACATAACCTTTCATCGTCTCGTTCTCCCCAAAACACGCATTTAACGCATTAAAACCCAGCTGTTGTCAGAACAAACAATTCTGCGTTCTATATTAAGTCTTTCGCGTCGATTATTTTCATAATGTGCATTAACCAGATTATACTCGTAACGGTGGAGTGCCGTGTTTTCTTTGCGGTACGGACTCAATTCTTAAATAACATTTAACGAGCTCCAGCTGTCACACAAAGTTGTTCTGACATCGAGAGAATGCACAGTGCACATTTTCACAGCTCTGAATCAGGAATCCGGTTTTATGACCACAACAGGCCTATCATACGAATAACAAAAATTGAATAATTTTGCAAGAAATAACTCACAAGCATAAAACACTTTCACTGTTAATTATTCTCCATCTGCTGTAAGAAGAATGACATAGAAGCTTAGAAAAGGAGTGGTAACAATTTAATATTTTATGAACCCATAAACACTTAAGAATATAGCCTATATTTGCGTTCCTTATTCTGACATCTGCAAATAAATTATATTTGACTTCGTACGTTTTTTAATTTCGATTTAATCTACGGGCAACGACTGATTAGAAAAAACTATTTTGAATCTATCACTTCATTAAAAAAGTTTAAAGTTCGAGAGAAGTTTTTAATTGACCATTTAGTCGAAGATCTGAACACATAAAACTTCTGTTGTCGGCCCCTCAAACTCGTCCATTTTTTCTATAAGACTGTTACAAAAATAACAGGTGGGAGGAATGTTCGCCCCATTAAATTTTACCTAATTTCTTTCCGTTTTCAAAACAAGATGGCGTAACGGTAGCACGGATCGTGAAAAGCGGACGACACTCAAAACAGACCTTGTTTGATGAACCATTACAGCAAGGTTAGTAGTAGGTAAAGTTCGAGTACTTCACAGTCCATCTTGACGTAATTGCTGGTCTTACGAGGCCATGCGCTCCGTTTCACCGGGCTAATGACTAGTGAGGTTAGGTCACCCAATGACTGCTTCTCTCCAGGAGCGTTCGCGGATAAAAGTTACAAGAAATTCCTTACTTGAATCGTCCTGTCTGTCCGTACGTTAGTCCGCGTATCACAACTAGAGAACGGCTAAACGTATGTTTATGAACCTTAATTTCGTCACGTCTGTCTGTCCGCACATAACAAATCCAGAGCCCCTGTACGAAGAACGACAGAAGACTCATCTATAATTCTGAAACACTGACATTTTTTTAAATGAACAGCCGTGTCTCGTGCAAAAATCTGGTCGCTGCGCTCGCTACACGAACTGTCGTAAACATTTTACGCCGTTTAATTTAAAGTATTCAAAAATCTCATTTTTAGCAGAATCTTCTTTACAATTTTTTTTAGATTTATTAATGATTATCTTACCATTACTACGGTTCAATACAAGAATTTTTCTCCAGTCCCATCCACACAAACGCTGCATTTTATTTCCTAAGCCACGAAAATCTCACTCACAACTGAAAACAAAAAGTTTCGACGTTACACGTTAACTGTGACGGGTCTCTTTGGAAGAATCGATAACATATGTTCTCATAATCCAGATCTGGGATAAAACTTTCCTATAACATTTATTTCTTCGGGAAATTAGGAACTTCTGTTACAAGATCATATATCATGCTCCCGATCGTATGTGGGAAGACAGCAGACGGTAGGGATCTGTGTTATATTACAGAAATGGAGGTACATTGAGTCGCCTAGAGGGAAGAAGACAACTGGTAATTGAAATAGACTTCTGACCGCGGCCTTAAGTGAATTTCATTTGAGAAAGAAGAAGAAGAAGAATAAGAAGACTAATTTTCTTTCGAGTCATTGTTTGAAGACGTTATTCTTTATCGAGAGAAAGTAGTTGGTTCATTATGATTTCTTAAAATAGAGAAAGTTCTGAAATGACGTCAGCTGCTTTAAACTCTTAATTAATTACAAGACAGTCAGCGATGTAACGCCATTCTGTTGCGCCAACTTATTCGGCAGCAGAAAGGTGACTCCGAACTGCTGGGAAGTTCGGGTAAAACACTTCACTTTGAACAACGACAGATTTTAATGCTAACTGGGTGTCCCAAAAATGTATAAACATTAAAACAAGGAATACTGGCCTTGTGTGTTATTTTTATTTAGTGTTCTGTCTGACGACAGGTCCATATGAACAGGATCCTTCCATCCTTTTCTCGGACTGGGACCTGTTCATATACGTTCTTGGCAGATGATCCAGAAGCGGTTTGCCATTGCCTTCTTCTGTGTGAATGGAGTAATTGTTGGGACGCCACGGAGGAAAACCCCGTGTTGCCTAGACCACGGCCTTGCCCAACACAAGTTAAAAATTCGAACCCGAGACCCCAGGATTACAAGGCCAGCGTTCTAACCGCTAGACCACCGTGCATATGTACATAATTTTGGGACAGCCTATATCTGTAGTGAATTAATAAATCCGGAAATCTTTATAACTACACGTCTAAAGCAACGTAAATCGTAAATTGTATTCTGTACGGAAGACGACACTTTTAAATGTAATACACAACGCCACCTTGCCTCAAAAAAAGACAGCTGACAGGCTGCAAGGAAAATCGCTGCCAACCACTAGCGATCGCTGTCGGTCTCAATCTGCTCAGACTGACGTTTCTCGGTTTACTTTTATTCTGAACGAAAAACCAATCGTTTGCTTTTCTTAGGAACGCGCTTCTTTGCAAACGTCCGGCGTCACTTAACGCGTGAGTTCCAATTACTAAATTCTATCAGAACAGACACTAACGAGGTAAGGCGGGTGTTCCTTAAAACTAGCAGCACTAACACCAAATCAGAATGGACGCTAACACTTGGCGTCGATCAACCGCGCCGAGACCAAAACGAACATCAGCGAAGTCGTTGGGGGCCCCTGACACACGCGGGGCGAAGCGACAAAGTGGGAGGCCCCAGGAACTCGCACTTTCTGCAACGGCACACGGGAAGCAATCAGCGTGAGGGAGGGTGAGCTTCCGTCCGGCGGCTTTGTTTACATATGATGAGTTTCGATTGACGCAGTGTCCAGTCCGGCAGACTGGAAGTTTCAAAGCTACGAAACACTGCAGCATAAACCCTTTAACGGTGCGCGGAATCTGTTATGTGTAAGCATTAAACACAAAATCCACTCTTTCATGTGTCTGTGTGCCGTCCCTCTGGAGCGACGAAATCCTATTAAATCCGGACAACAGATTCTGGTTATTGTCCCAAGCGCGACGTATTTCTTGGGGTAAATATTCACAAAGGAGCGGACGACATTAAGAGCGACATATGTATTTCTTGAGACAGGTCTTCTTTGAATTCGCAGCTGTTTACGAATATTTTGATGTCATTAAATAAACAAATTCCGCATATTTTCGCCTTTCTTAAACCCGTGGAATAGAGATCAGAAGTCACGTCGTTGTGCCGAATATCTTCGATTATGCAAATCTTTTTATATGCCCTTTTCGCATGATACTATCGATACAGTTTCACGACGATTGTGAAGACGCTTCTTTGTCACCCTGTACCTTGTGACCTTGCCCTGACAGGTATTTGTCCTTCCTTATTGTAGTCCCAGATGTTCGACGGCTTCTTATTGCTACAGAACACAAACTGAATGAATAAAAACCCGTAACGTGCCTTCACCTTGTGACGTCAAAACGGTAACGAGATTACTCGAGTTATCTCGTGACTAACATCACAACGCTTTAACGACGGCGACGACATCCGAGTAAGACGGAGGCGTAATACGTTGTCTCATGCACCACATTATTGGATTTGCAGCTCAGACTTTTCGTATACACGACAGAATCTCACCAAAACATGAACATTAAACTTAAACTGCTCCTACAGAAATGATAACTCTGCGAGCCTCGCTCTGTGCCCACTGACAAGCTTCGTACCACAGCCGTGTCTGACTTATGGTTCCCGTGGTACTTCTCAGCCCAGCCAATCCCCTATAGACGTAATCGCTGGCCGAGTTTCTAGCTGTATCGCCGCGTCCACTGTCCACCTCTGCATTGATTCAACAAGTGGCTTGTACACCTGAGTTCCTGAGCCAACAGCTTTCATTCCTTAACTTCGAGACGAATGAGTGTTGAGAATTATGGAAGGAACTCCAGCTCACATTTCCGGATGGTCACCAAAGACCAAGTTTATCAACAAGCAGCTGTCACAAACACGTGATTAGAGAGCAGAACTATCTCTCACTTACATGTACTCCTGGTAGCTCTCGATACTTGGACCATCGGGCCACTCGGCGTAGCAGACGACCCGCGTGCCGCCGTCTGAGAACTCGTGTGCAAAGGTCGTGAAGAAGAGGAGGTTGGGCATGGACATAGCCGTCCCAACGACCCAGATCCCCAGGGCGATGCACAGCGTAGTGCGACGTCCCATCCGCGGGCGTAGCGGATTCATGATAGCCATGTACCTGGAAATGTAACAGCAGACGTTTGGTTGGGCGCCAACAACTCACCGGCGGACGGAAAAGTGAATAATCCACGGCTCTGTAAATTATTGGAACCCATAAAGTAGTAAACACACAGTCATAAATATTATCCCATTAGTCCCCAAGAAGAATACAGCATCAAATGATCGCCAATGGACCAATCAATTGACACTTGCATGCTGTACAGATAAACGTTATGTCGGACTATTTCAATACATTTAGTATTTTAGTGCATTACGCTCGTCTAGACAATTAGTCCGTGGACGAACTCTTCACTCGATCACGAAATTAACTATTTAAAAAAAAATTAAATGGCTCACGAAGCATGAAGAAAAATTCAATTTTCTGTCGAATTTATATGTTTCTATCAACGAACTATTGACTCTTAAATCGTAACAATTCCTACGTTAATTCTACGAGTTTATTTTCTTACACTAAGTGAGTATCTTTAAATATTGCCTTCGTATCTTATACAAGGTACGAATTAATTAAATTCTTTCCAAAGAATGCGCACCGAGAGTTACAATTTCGAAGCACCGCACTCGAAGTCTTTGTGGACTCAAGAAGGCTTCTTTTTAGGCGAGCAAGACTGTCATTAAAATTTCCTCTCATCCAACACACAAACAATTTCATCTAACTGAATCTAAATAACTTTAAAGAAAAAATAGAAGGATGGATCATGGTAAACGAGCAACGCGCATACAGGTGTACCACTTTGTTAGACTATCAAGTACAAAACATGACTCAGCATTCCCCATTTTTTGCATAGTTTCAAAGTCCAGATTCCCTTATCCGGGCACAAAACAACGCAAATTTTAATGAGGAATTTACAAGTTACATCAAAACAATTTACTGGCATCAGAATTCAATTTCGGTATCGCAACAAGGGCATAAGACGAAACTGAATTCAGTCCTCACATTACGAAACCACACACTTGATTAGAGAGGTCTTCCTGGCTGTCGAGCTATTTAACGGGAGGAGAAGTCGTTACACCTCGCAGTGATCTGCCTCAGGTGACTACGAAATGCTAATGGACCCAGCCACACGTTCGTGACTTCGGAGCGACAGCGGAATAAGTACCAATGCGGAGGCCTACCTTCCGCGATTTACACAGACGCAACAACGATGCTGGCGAGAGATCCGCCACTGCTCCTAAATAATAATAATAATAATAATAATAATAATAATTTTGGAAAAGTGGCATCTAGTATAAATAATTTTACGACCAAATGTTAAATTTCATATGCTTCATAATTTTAGATTGTGGTTATGAAACTTCTCTTCTGGTAGATGTTGGCCGACGTTTCAGAGGAGTTTCTTGTCACCATCATAGGTGTGAACCTCTGAAACGTCGGTCAGTATCTAGTAGATTACACGGCGCAACATCCCAGAAGAAAGCCATCTTAATGCCGGGATAATACATCGGACAAGGATACGACCAGTTCCTTCCAAATCCTCTCCAATTCATTAATCATCGTATCAGTCAACGCTACAAAGTCTAAGGTGATAGCCGGTAAATACATCACAAGTAACAAAAACGCTGGATTCTCGAGAGACAGAAAGAAGATTCCTACAGCCACCCGGAAATTCTGATTTTCAAGAAAAGGCTTGTCCGAGTACACAGACTTTTGGGACCGCTGATCTAACCCACGAGCAGCCTCGGTTCAATGCCGTGCAAGCACACACCCCCATATTCGGACGATATTTAAATTTCAGCATATAAAGCAATTCCTGGGCCAAGAATTCTGACCGCAAGCACACAGGGGTGTACAGAACAGTTAATGGGATTTCCGCGAATGCCACACCCCGGCAGTTCTCGTCTTCCGGAATTCGAAATATGGACAGCGGGGAATTTATCATCTTTTCTGACCTTCGTCAAAGTTATTTCGCTCGACTGGTATGGACCCGAAGATTTGTGTGATATAACTTCCTTTTCAAATTCACACGTTTTCAATTTTACCGATTAACAACCAAACTCAGCCTACTCATTAACTGATTATACACAGCTTATCATGTCAGGTCGATAACGTAGCAACAAAATGCCTGCTCTCAGAGAGAGCGGGGTTCGTTTCCCTGTACCAGTTCCGCGTATATTTCAAAGTAGCGACTGCTTTGAAGCAAACCCGTGGGGCCAACAGCTCCGGCTCGTTAAACCCCGTCCACACTGACGGAAGAACACAAGGCGGAGAACGAACACCTTCAGTGTTAACAGCGAGTATAGTCGGTCTGTTTGCAAGTTACGAGGCACTTAACTGATCACTGTTCCCGCAGCCTTCACACTCGCCAATGATAATTTCATTTCGACTTTTAAAATTGTCTGACAGAATTTGAGAGAGAACCTGAAGGAGTTAATAACAGGGCGATCACTTGTATCATTCTTGCATGACGTTCTCACATCCTTCAGGGAGCTGACTTACAAACTAAGAGGATTAGGATGGAAGCAGGAACACACCTTGGCCAATTAACTCGAGGAAGAATATTAATGTTCAGTGAGTTGGCCTAAACATGGCCATTATGAAAGCTGCTGTTGAAGCACCGCCCAAACGCCTATGGGGGCGATGTGGCAAATGGAATCACAAGGTTTACGACTCCTCGAGACGTCGGGGGTTCCTGGGAGCAAATCTTCTGCCCAAAACAGGGCAGGGACAGAAATACTTACTGACTCACAAAGCAGCTGACTGATTGTTCCAGTAACATTCGATAAAAAGTCGATACTCTTACGGTATCCAAACGCTCCTAAGACAGACACAACCTTTCTCTCCTGACCATACAGTGAAATAATTTAAGAGTTACAATTAAATTGTAATCATCATATTTTATTTCCGAACGGATCCATTCTGACATTAAACTCCCGTTGAATTTTTTGAAAGACCAAACTTCACGCCCACACAAAATAACACTTAAGAGTAAGGTTTGACGTCTTTTAACCCCGACGTTTTTAGACAGCATATCAGAAGACAAAAATATTCAGAATTACAAGGCAGAACGCGTTCCTAGAATTTAACCTATTTTTAATTTCCTCCCAAATTAAAATTTGATTTGTTGCCGTCGTTACAAACATTTGAACCCGGCAACATTTTTAAATAATTTTTAACGCGAACGCACGTTGTAAAATAAGCCAATATGCCAGTGATCTGTACAAAATGGACACTTACTTTGGAAGCTGCGACACTGATCTCATGGGATATGCATTACCCCAGGGGATAAGCTATTGCTAACGGAAAGGGAGGGAATCCTTTTATCCACACAACACGTGACGTCAGACTTCCCTCACGCTCACTGGATACCCAGAGGGCCCAGGACAACGCCCTCGTCCTAATGACATTGCTTTATAAAGCCTGTCATCCACCCCCGATTATTTGACAGCCGGGCAGTGAAAATAACCTCAACTCGATACGAAGATATGACAATTTTTTTTTAAATCTGGAGGAAATGGCTTTGCAGATCATGAGGTGAGGCCATCAAGTTCTTGATGCCAAGAATGCACCCGACATTAACTTAAAATAAATGCAGACACCGATTTCTAAGCGATGTTTGAAGTTTCCTGACGATGCTATAACAAAGTGTGCGTAATTCCTCTGTTGGACTTAATCCATGGTCTGATCTCTCATATTTAAGACGGCGACGTTTGGGATATTTCGTATTCTGGTAGACTCCGTCGCACATCTAGTCCCTACCCTCGTCTAACTTCCCAGACTTCGAAATTTCAGATATAAAATCACTTAGACGATGTAGAAAATCCACGCTCCTTATTTTATTTCGAAGTTCACTTAACGAAGATGTAACGCTGAAAGCCTGGTTACTTAACGTAGGAATCTGTGAAACACTCTGTATATTGTTGACCGGTACTAAGAATAATGCTGTGTCAAGGAGCGAACGTTGCACGTGTCTACTCGCGGTTGATGTGTGATGAAGATAAACCGATTGGCCACTGACCAGGGCGCGACGCTCCATTAAGCCCACATCACGTCTCGCGACTGCCTCACGTCCTTACACGTCCTGTCTGGAGGCTTTTATCCAGCGTGTGCGGGAACCGAATTTATTCTGGGGGCGGAGCCAGGAAGAGCCTACATACAAGCAGAGTGAAGCAGACAGACGCAATCCGTACCACGCGCGTCGAATGAGAACACATTTATTCGAAGATTAACGTCGATTACATTTCAGACGAATTCGCCGGTCCGAATATCTCACCTGAGGTACGTTCTATCAGTTTCAGAGGTTATTTACCGCGGAATGAGATAAGGGTATGATAATCTGAAATAATTATGGCACAAGCGGGCATATTTAATGTGTCCCAAGTTCAAAATCCCGAGTCAGTATAGCCGAGATTCGAAGTTGTAACCTCCGGAATAAAAATCAAATCTGTTACTGTCCATTGGTTGGTTTGTTGGCAAGTCATTTAGGGGGAGATGTTGTTTCGGGTTCTGACGCCTTCTGCATTGCGGTCTCGTGATACAACTGAGGAAAACATCGTCATCTTCACTGCTCTGAGACCCTCAGCGTTCACGTCTCAAAAGGTCAACAACTATCAGCTTCGGAAAGGGGCTCTCGTAGAGTGTGACAGGATTTTAGTCTGCATTGTCATGTCTTAACCACACCTGAACAAGGATTAGTATTTTAACGGATTGCAGGTCCATCCACCCACCGGCACACAAATCACCGCGCACCACATAGCTCCTTTTTGCAGTCTCGCAGCACCGCCAGTCATTCGATGGGGCGTGATTTGTTGGGAGGTCACGTGACCTGACACACTTGTGGGCACTTGACATCGCTTTTTCCTTTACCTGGAATTGGTGAAGTTACCTGAGTGTTTGTCACACAGCTCCACAGATTTATTGCTGTCGACCGCCCTGAACATTATCCGCTGGTCGTTTGTCCCTCGTTACGCCCGGATGATCCTCATTTGTCTCCGATATGAGTGAATGTAAGGCGCATCTTCGTGGCATTTGTGAGCCCAGAATTCCCACTGCTTCCCGCACGC